TTCATTCGAACCTACTCCACCTTGATAAATATCACAACTCATTGTTCCTTATTACTTCGTTCTCTCATCTGGAGCCCCTAATCACATTTCACTCTGGCAACATGAGCTAGTGTCAATTTAATCTGATAATTTATCATACCTCTGTCTGTTCCAATACTAAATGTTAAGCATTGGTTATCGTTCATATCCAAATGCCTTGCTGCTCATCGGTTTCTTTTCTTTCTCTTCAGAATCTTGCTCTGAGGGATGCATACTGTGAACTAGTATATGTTGTAACTTGTAGATCATGCCTGTAAAAATGGCGTGTACATGGCCTTGCAGAAATATATTATTATTACTTGTTGTAGACGGCACTCTTCATTTTCTAACCCTCCTAGAATTTCATCTCGTTATTCGGTGTTAACAAACAAACTACAGGCACCAGATAAACGGATTCAGAAACTTTGATTATTAATATGAAGTTTGAGAAAAATCCACTTACAACATTCATTATACTATTAGCGATTCACTGTTTACATACAGTGATGAAATAACTGGTAAGCACATGTTCCTTACGGAATCCATTTACATTCATATCTTATGAAATATCAACCCAGCTGAGTAATTTTCAACAGTGAAAATTGTAACTTCTTTAACAATTTGATCTTGCCTGTAAAACGGCATGCCTCATGTAACAAACTGTTATTTGAGAATAAATTATTATTATTATTTACAATTTAGATATTACTCGTCAATCTGCATTAAAACTTTGTTTATGATCTGGTCAATGATTTCGGATTCTGTTGACAGAAATTTATTTGTTAACCCTATAACAGACACATCATAAACTAGTATTAACCACAACACGGTTTAGTTACTACGCTCAAAACAGCCACGCATCGCTTAACTTATGAAGAATATTTGGCTAATTTATGTGGCACTTACAGTATTGTGTTCATGTTCAGAAAGCGAGCGGAAAAGGCTATCAACGTCAATTGTTACTCATATAATTTTTCTTTTGAGATACCTTACGTAGTAATTTGACACTTCAGTCGGAAACCATAATACTTATAATAAGTAAGACTGTTTACGACTGTATATTGGCAAGTTATATAATATTCATAAATAGTTTAACGCTCCATTGTTTCAACCTACATACATATCAACAACTACCAACACCCATGTTCATCACCACGATGATTAAGGAGGCGAGCCATATGTAAAAAATTTTACAGCTCATTTTTGCTCGAAACTCTGGCTTTAGTCTATTTTTGACGTCATAACTGGTGGATTTCACTTTCCTAAGTTTGTATTGTTACAAATAACCGAAATAGGCTTACTAAACATTCATCCAGATTGTGGGCAACTATTCCATCAAACTACTAATAGACTGGAATAAACGCTATTTAACAAGCATGATTATTACCGAAATTGACGTGTGACAGAAAAAAATTCACTTATTAGCTGATAAATAATGACATCGAAAATCCTCGACAACATGTAACATCTGAGCGAGAACCAGTGGCATGACTTTTAGACAACGCCGTATTTTGCATAAATAAATCAGCATCAATATTGTTGGTTCGTGACATATCACTTGACATGAGGAGCCGTAATTCAACATGTTGTGCCCTACAAACACGGGTAGGTTGAGGTTATCTCCCCACCATCATGTTTGCTGGTCAGGAACGCCACCCTCCCTCCTTTTGTGTTGTTGGGCTCTCTTACGTTTGTGGTAAGTATGAGTATTGCTCCAATCGAAGCTCGTTGTTGGAACACACTCTCTCTACTAGTTCCATGTTACAAGCAAATCAGATGAACAAAGCAATTGTATTATGGGCTAGACGTCCATTTACTATATCATACTGCTATGAAGATAACTAATGGTAAAAGCTATAAGAGACAGATCAGATTATATGTGATCAAGACATGGCAAAAACTGATAGTAGATCAAAGGATATGAAGGAGTAGATGATTGTAAAATTTTCAGGGTAAGAAAAGTAAAACATTGAACAACTCACAATAGTTTAGGGTATTTTGAGCTTCTTTTGATCAGCCTTATTTTATCGGCATCCATAGGATCAGTGAATTATCTGTCTTCTTGTATCAGGAAAAAAAGATATGACATTTGAGAAGAAGAAAAAATCTTTGATCATCAGAGAGATTTGGAATCTGATAGTGAGGGTGAGGAGCAGAAAGCCATTATTAATAATCGATGAATAGGCGCAGGGTATAGAGCATGTGTTCCGTAATTTGGTTATATTCATATAAATAACAATGGGGTTCGTTGTATTCTCGCTCCATCTAGACGTTAGGCGGTCTGTGATAAATTGTGACTCATTGGTGGGTGGGAGTTCAAGGAGTAGTTGATGAAGCTCTTTAGAGTCTAATTACAAGATTTGGTAAAAGTGTCACGGTTACGGATAGGTATTGGCAACCTGTACCGCACTGCAGAAAACTCACAACGCATTCATTTCTGGTGTTGTACGGCAAATAGTGCGTATGTGTTTTTACGTAGTTTATAGGCTGAGCCCGAGACTGTTCCTATCTCGTCTATTACAGTGGAAACAGTTGCTCACCGCTTCGTAGAACGGTGGACGGCGCTGTATGGTTGTCCCCAGACTGTCACGACTGACGGAGGAAAACAATTTGAGTCCGAATTATTCTCGTCGCTGAGTCGGCTGCTTGGTTTCGGAACACATACGCACTACCACCTACCACCCACAATCAAGTGGTTTAGTTTAACGGTTTCATCGTCAACTTTAAAGTGTTCTTTGAGCACACGAAAACAACAATTGGTACGAAACCTTACTGCTCGTCCTCCTACGTACCAGAACAAGCTTAGAGGCAGATACTCAAAGTTCCGCCGCTGAACTTGTATATGGCATGACAATACATCCGCCTGGGGAATTTTCAACACCACGGGGCAGTAACAATCTTGGTAAGTCAGGCTACGTCCAACGATTTTCTGAGTTTATGCAAACACTGCCTCTGGTGTCAACTCGTGTACATCATCGACAGGTTGCTCTCCCTCGAGAGTTATCTACTTGTTTACTTTATTTCATACGAGTAGATTCGGTACGCGAACCTTTGCAACAGCCTTGCGAATAACTTTTTCACGTGATTTCTTGTCATGAAAAGACCTTCAAGGCTGATCGACACGGCCGCGTCGAGATATTCAGCACTACGGTTGTGCGAGCATGGTCGAAAAGTCATGTCATTGATTCTCGCTCATATGTTACATGTTGTCGCGGATTTTTAATGTCGTTTTTTATCGGCAAATTTATCGTTTGATTGCCTAGTCTGTAAGATCTTACGTGAAAATCGCATCACTATCTACACTGACCCATCGTATCGCGACAAATAACAATAATAATTAGTACTTCTGAAGAACACATTTATGCTTGGGATAGAATAATATATTTAATGTGAATACAAATAAGTTAAACATAATGAGCACGTCTGTAACACTGAGTCATGCCATTCGATTGAATGAATATCTACACGTTTACCACTTCCGACCTTCTCCAAGTGTTACATCCTTTTAGTTATTATATGCTTGGCTCCGTAGACCATGTGATTAGGAAACAACGTCACTTCAATTATTCATCCGAATATACTGATCGTAAAGATGACTACAGGAAGAGAAATGTTTGAGAAATTACAGTCTTACCTAGTTATTGATTTTTAAGTAATAATTGTCTACTTTTTTCTCCACCACCAAGGCGAAGTGTTCACCATATTTTTCAATTATCCGTTGTTTATGGATTTTCTAGCTTCTTTGAATTCGTATATACTCTTTACTCCGTCTGGGTAATGATGTTGTTGTATTATAATGGAAGTTATGTGTGTTATTTAACTTCCATCGGCTGAAGGGTCTAAGTATGTGATGAGCTAATTAGTTTATTTATTTCGTATTTGATTGAGCTTACCTGAAAGAGTTGGTCTTTTTACATATGTCAGTAGTATATGACGATAAAGAAATCGACAAGTCATAAATGTTCGACAATTGCACTCGCAAGTGCCTGCATCTACTTCATAACACCACAAAACTGTATTTAAATCGCACGTCCTTCAGCAGTTTACTTTCGCCGTGAATGTTATGCGTACGGGTAGTCTGAAAAGGGATGGAATTATGCATACATACTTTTTTGGAACTCCTTAAACACACCATAGAATTCAATCCAGTTTCAAAAACGCCTGCTCAGTTTTATACGTTGAAACGCCTCACTTAAGTCGACCGAAATGTTTCTCGGACATAAATCACTACAAACATTACTCGTTAATTACTAAAAAACAGCTATTTCATGCGATAATACTTCAGTAACTGAAGAAAGGACTACAAGCATTTAGGAATTACGGGCTACTCGTCATGTCGTCTTAATTCTTGCAGAAAACAACGATTCATACAAATTCAGAGTATTTTTTTACTGATAATTTATACTGAATACACAGTTTTGTTGACCCCTGCAAATTTTAAACAAAAGAGTGAAGTTCAGTAGGGTAATTGGTATCCCAGGTCAAGTTACGAAGCAACAAAAGAGCCAAATTGTACACTACAAAACATAATAAGCTAAATAAACGCTTTTGGCATTGATTTTGCGAATTTACTACAGCCAAAAACAACGCAAATACGAGAAAACGTGATATTCCTGCAACCCAGAGGACAACCAACCGACCCTCAACAAATCAAATACGGAATGACCGCCTCGTGTCAGGCCGTTCAAGGTCGCAAAAAGGAAACGGCGGGCAAGTTTGAAAGCGCACTGACTTATTTACCTTGCCCTTATTTACCTTAGTGGGTAATGCGTCCTGATTCATTTAGACGTAAAAGCGTATTATTAGGGTTTGAGAATTCGCAAATTGCTACGCCTAGTGAAAAATACTGAATACATCTGTTTATTACTCAGGATAACGGTAAGTTTCCAGTACATACTGTATATGGTCGTAAAAGGTGTTCTGTTCGCTTATCTATTTCATCCTGTTCTTACTGAACAGGAACTAAACTGAGTCACATTAAAATGAGGTAACTGGAAACCTGTTGTCCTAACTCGTTAGAATCGTCTTCCCATATGGACTTTTTGTACTCCCATATACTCCTTTGGGGGTAGTAATTGTGATTTTGCGTCTGGTAATATTTATGCACGCCTTCCTAGCCTCATGGGTGCTATCTCAGTTCGAATACCTTCGAAGGTTAGTTATATTGGCACTGAACTATTCTATAACCAGATTTGTGTTGCGCTCTATGTGCACTGTCCTGGGTTTCGTCGTATATATCGACTCAGATCTTCGTACCGATCGAAACACATGTATGCCTTTCGTATCCAATTACGTTACTCTGTTTGACCATTTGGTGCTGTGTCTATCCGAGGATTGTATTACAGTAAGTTTTCCTATCTTATCACATTTGTAACATGTACAGGTCTTAACATAACTATTAGATTTATTTATTTAAACACATAAATATTGGTACAAGGAAGCACCAGATACATATGCGCCACACAAACCGAATGAGATTTGTGTGAGGGCTGTGATACTGCCCAGGTGCCCAAACTGAAGCAGGTGGTTTTCTTAGTGGGCCACACCCGGAGCCTTTGACCTAGAAGTCTAACCCACAAGGCAGTGTAGCATCGTGAGGAAATGCAGTCCCATAGTAGCCGGTGACCCACAATAGGTTTGTAAACCATTTGTTCCCTCAGGATGCTGTAGTCCATGTACACCATAGGTTTGGAATCAGGGTTTTCCAACTCCCGTAGGTGGACTTTCCTTGTCCACTGACCCGGTTAAAGCGCCGGACATTCGCTTTTCGTCCTCTCACTTTCGTGAACAACACCACCGCCACGAGAAGGCAGTAAGTAGGACTTCCCTGGCAGAGGCTATATACGCGTGGCCGTGTGAGAGCATTTCAAGAGAGAGTGGACTCTCCCCACTCTCGGCCGTACCAGGGGATTCGGGGGCAAAAATTAGATTAGATAAGTTTAATCTCAACCATCAACGGAAATCGGTTCAAAGGTAGCACCCGACTAGGTCATACTTACCAACGCCTGGTAATAATTGCATTTTGTGGTCTCAAAGGTGTGTTCAACTTAGTTGACCGGGCGTTGCTGTGAAGTTACATTATGAAAAACCTACTGCAGAAGTTCATAAAACTTACAGAAGGTCTACTCGAACTCTGTTGATCAAATTAAAACTTCTGGTGATCTGTCATCAAAACTGTGAACTCCATTTTCTTAGAGTTGTTCACTATCCTCATTTCTATTTAATTTCGTTGTGGTTAATCTACAAGGCTTTTGTGCTGCAAAACATAGGAAGAATCAAGTTCAAACAAAGAAGCCGTCTCATTCTGTATCTATAGTCTTTAAAAACATAATAGCATTCAAAAGACTAAAACAAGACATTTGTTAAATGCCTCACATTTCTAGCCATTAATTTAACTAGCTAGGTAAGTGCCAAGCTGAATAGGTCTCCTACATACAATTGCTCAGTGTTCTCCAATTTGCTTTGGAAGTATGCATTAATTTCATGAGTTGTGTAGGCCGACGCAGCATATATAATAATCGTACTCTAAATCTTTTAGTTTGTGAATAAACTTGTAAGTTGGCATCTGCATAATTAACTCTTTTTTGAGTTATGTGTTGATATTTAACTCTGACAAACACTGAAATCTTTGTTTGAAATTCCACCTTGTAAGATGTCCTTTCATCCATTAGTGTTTTTTTGGAACCTATGAACCCATCCATACTTAAAGTATGCGTGAAATGAAGACTGATTTTTTAATTATTAATAATCAACAGCCGAACACACATGTCTTCCATTGGAAGTCAATTCCACATAGCAAAGAAAAGACTCGTTCTGTCCCTGAATTCGTTCTTCGGTGTGCACGAGGTGAGTCCTTATTATGCTAAGTATTTTCTAGACAATCACCAACCTGTCCACCTACTTCCCGAAAAAGCACCGTCTGGTTTATCCGATTGCCTTTTCAAGTTTGATCACAAGATGTTTGGTTCGGTGGATAAAGTGCAACCTGTAAGTGACAACATTTATGATACCTAATATTTTCTTTAGGTGGCACTTAAGGTTCATCGGATCTTTCCTATCAAATTAGTAAGTCAACTATTTCCAGTTGGTTATATTCGTCATTCCGTCAATTGTTCCGAATAACTTACAACTCACGATCATTCATGATTATGTGATATTTGTGGCTTAAGACGTGATGATTAAAATTTTGATTTATAAGTCAGCGGATTCTGAATGGCCTTATTACGATAAATTAGTTCTCAAATAATGTAATAAATCAAATTAATGTTTGCGAAAGAAAACAAGTTTAAAAGTTGAAGACAATGGTGTTGGGTGAACATGCATTCACAAGAAGATATAGTTTCTCAAATCACGTCTACACTGGAAAGTGTTATACTTTTACTTCACTTGCATAATTTTTTCAGAAGCACTTAGCCCGTTACTTTTTCAGTGCCGTATCAGTTTTAACACTTGTTATACAATATTTTTCGTATTACGTATTAATTACATTGTGCACGTCTTGTATACCAAGTAAGGAGGAGTCAGGGCTATATTATCTGCTTACTCGTCAGGTCTTGCATAATTTGATTTTTATCATGAGTGACTTAATTTCGTAAACAAGGATGTTTGATGACCGTTTTTTGTTTATATGGTTGAATAAAGCATAAAACATTTCCTCCTGCTTTGAAAGTTAGTATTAATAAAACTTCATGTACACGTCATTTTAGTCCGTGCAGCTACTTAGACTTGTTACTAGACGGGTAATTTCTCTAAGAACTTTGGGCTAAACTCTTTACACAACGCTAAACTAGTAATGTTTATTCGTTAAGCAAACTGACACTTCATTTACATTTTTCTGGATTAAAGTCACCCTACAAATGTGGTCAGCTAATATATGGCGCATATATATATATATATATATATATATATATATATACTATTGAACTAGCTGACTATTAAGGTCTTATGGATTTTTGATTTGTAATAGTAGGCACAAGCGATTGAAATAAAAAAGTATCCGTTTTTATGAATTATCATCTTAGTATATAGATATCAAAAATCTTCATCCATAAAGAGCAAAACATAGTGAAAGCAATTATGGAGACATTCTTACAAGGCTTTCTTGACTTAAACAATGCATTGATTCTCTACGTTGTAAGTGGCATATTCACTTCATTGTCGAACTATATTTTGTATGCCCAATAATCTATCATACTTCACTGAGTTATTGTTCGTACCTGTTTGGTTTATTATCATGTATATCGTTTTTCCTAGGTAAGTTCGGCTATTTGATATTTGGTCTTTGTGTTGTTTCTTTTACAAAGAACCTTACATCTACAAAACAGATTTTAAAATATTGCTCGTTAGTATTCAAACATGCTATGCTTCATTTATACTAATGCATAAATTTCTTGTAGGTGGTTCATCCTGTTTTTTGGTTTATAGAGCTTTTGTGGCAGTTCTTCACTCCTTTTACATATTATCATGTCAAATATTTAACTCCGATTAGTCGGATGTCTAATGAAACAGATGAGGATTTCTGTGAAAGGGTTCGTTCCGCTATTGCTTCCTCCCTCGGAGCTACACTCAGCCCAATAAATGCTGAACATCTGGCAGATGTGAGTGTTAAGATAATTTCAGGTTTTTAGTGTACATATTTTGCACAGTTAATAGCAAGAGTTTATCTCCTGTAATGATTGACAATTTATTACGTATAAGTCTAGTTGTAGTCATAAGCATTCGGACTTACAAGTGCACACATTAATCTTTTACCTCCTGTTACGTCACTTAGTAGACAGACACGAATTACATATGCCTTTAGAACTATTTAGGTTTTTCTTCATGTGACAAACATTTTAACGTTGTAATCATTCTGTGCAGTATATTTCTGTATTCATTAACTAGTTGAAATACTTTTTTTCTGAAAGATGTATTTATCTATCTAGGATATAGTAAGCAGTATTTGGTTCGCATATATCCCAGCAAAACAAGTATGCGGTTAAAAATATGTGGATCAGTTGCACCGTTGATCATTTAACAGTTCTGTGTCCTGGTTTAGACATTCTAATGAAACGAATAAGTTGCGTGTGATAGTCCTAATGTTTTAGCAGTCGGATGTCAGTGATCCTCATACAACAAGGGTGACTACATAACAGTATACGAACGTGTATATTTTCCGTAAGTCTAGTGATTTATCGTTAAAAACTAAGATAGTGTGTCTAAATAGATGCTCTCTACCAAAACATCTAGCTGGCGTGGTTTATACTTTGAGATCATTTTCAGCAACCGAATAAAATTAAAAAGCATGTCGTCTTACAGATTGTTTAGCTTTGAACAAAAACATCTACAATAGAATAATGATAAGTGTGCTTTGTAAGTTGTCATCGCATTTTTTCCTATTTGAGGTCCCGTTACATGAAAATAGATTCGAGCCCGTAGTGCACCAGTTTAAAGTAATTAAACAGCCTTACAGAAATGATCCGAAATACGTAGTTTAAGTTAATACTAACAACTAAGTTATGTCTGATAAATTATCATTAATTTGCAAGACTTATTGACATTCTAAAACGTATTACGCGACTTTCCAAGCTGTTTATCCTAATTTGTTAATCTGAACTATCACATTAGTTCTGGTTCAAAATCTCTTTCCGGATACAATTATTTTTGTTTTATCAAATTATTTCCCTATGAAATAGTTGTTCCCTAAATTACTTTTTATTTCTAGTACACTGGAACGGAATCACCGATTGCTTCGCTTTCTCTCCCTAATGCACGATCTTGTACTATGTCTAGTTTATCTGCAACGCCACCCAGTTCCCCTTTGTCTAGAAAGCATTCTACAAGTTCGTCAAGCGATTCTTTAATTTCGAACATACTCGAGTCCGATGGAATTCGTCTTCGCCACTGTACTCAGCCTAATCACGAAGCCTCCGAAACCTACTCGTGTTTCTCTTTCGAACATCTAGTACCTCGAGTCAGTGAAATACTTCGTGACATACCAGCGTCTCGGATCCGTGAAGCTCTTGGTAAGGTTTCATACCTGGTGTAACACTGTTTTTAGTTAGGTGAAAACTGGATTTCTGCTTGTAATCTAATTCTTAGTGTATATAATACCCAGCCACCGGTTTAAGATGGACCAGGCTTTTAATATGTAAAGCAACTATCCATACGTACACGATTTGACACACTCGTTTTGGTACAGTTAAACACTGGTAGTATTTTTTTGAGACACTTGTAAGATAACTGTTAGCAGTATCCGATATGAAAACAGATAAATCCCTACTGAGACCCAATAACAATATGTTGTTTATACCACATACCAAATTATTGGACAATGGCCGAAATTTTACTTCCCAAATATGATTACCTGTAGACAAGTTTTTAAACTCAGTATATTGCATTCTTCATAAGGCACGCAGAATTGTTTCATTTCTTCTGCGAAACTGAATCAACTATTAAACAAAGAAGCTGTATGGGCTCTTAGGATATTTCGTAGCTTACTAAAGTTTCACGGTTAATCTCAGAAATTCAGAATTTAAAAAGCCTATCAAAAAAAGATCACACCGAGGTTTTAAAGCTATTACGCAAACATTGTCAATCAGTCAGTTACAACGTAGAACTTCGTACGTACGTACATCAGTTCGAGTTGCCATACCACATTAGCACAGATATGAAGTTGTCGATTCAAATCCCATAGTGGTAGAAGTAGTAAGAGTATAAGTATTATGTAAAAGATAAGGGTTTGAAGATGTTAATGAAGGAGTATTATCCTGTGAAGTAAATTTGGAAAGAGAAAAAGGATACGGACATGAATTCAGAAGATTAGAATTTGGTAGAACACAAAGAGTGTATGCACCTTCGCCATTGCAAACGATTTTGAGCCATGTCATTCAAGGTCTCTAACCATCGGTAGCTATCATCTCGCGAGTCCCAACCAGGTAGTCTACACCTACCAACACGGCCCAGTCCACTTGTCAGCGACTTCATGGATTTATGCCATGTTTTAGTCTGGCCGCCCCTAGCTTTCTTCCAACTTGCTCCTACACCATAAAGCATTGCACGTCGGGCAGTCGGTGGTTAGGCATACGTAACACATGTCCCAGCCATCTCAACTGATGAAGTTTCAGTACATTATCAATCGATTTGCCATCCTTACCTAGTACCCGTTTCCTAACATCTGCATTACTTACCCGGTGGTCCCAGGATATACGAGCAATGCTTCGAAGACACCTATGATCGAATCCTAGTAGCCTACGAATATCCTCTACTCTTATCGGCCATGTTTCACTGCCATAAAGTAGGACGGAACGAACTGCTGCACAGTAAACCCGTCCTTTTGTTGCTAGACGGATATCTCGCCTACGCCATAAATGACGCAAGTTGGCGAAAGCTAGACGAGCCTTCTGTATCCGTGCTGAGGTTTCGTCACAAACCCGACAACAAGGGATGATGAGACTTTCAAGATAAGTGAAGCTGTCAACACGCTCATCTACTTCACTCCATATCATTAGTTCAGGTGTCGATGCAACCCAATCCTGAAGTAACATTTTGCACTTCGAGGGAGAGAATCGCATCCCGAACATGCATTCATTGTTGCTTATAGTGGTCAGAAGACTGCATTTCGTCAGAGTCTTCATCAAATAAACTATGTCGTCGGCGTATTCTAAGTCAATAAGTGAGCCTCCTAGTAAAAGTTCAACTCCAGGAGATTGAGATGATGAAAGTGATATCTCTAAAAGCATGTCAACGACAAAGTTAAACAAGAATGGTGAGAGTGGACAGCCCTGACGAACACCACTTGAGGTAACCAATTCTGATGACAGTTCGCCATAGGCTCTAACTCGACCAGTTGTGTTCGAGTAGAGAGTCTTTATGAGGTTAATGTACTTCTTTGGTACTCCTTTCACTGACAAACACTGCCGTAGAACCTCACGATCAACGGAGTCAAATGCCGCCTTAAGGTCAAGAAACACTACTATTGTGGGACGTCTGAATGTATGTCTATGTTCTAGGACCTGACGTAGAGTGAATATCTGGTCTATGCAATCACGTCCAGGTCAAAAACCAACCTGGTCGTCTCTAGTCTGCTCTTCGTGAGCTTTGGTTAGGCGACCTAGTATTATTGAAGCTAATATTTTAGACACTATATTAGTCAAACTGATCCCTCTGTAATTGTCACAGGAGGACTTTTGTCCTTTCTTATAGACTGGCACAATCAGTGATTGGGACCAGTCAAATGGAATTACGTCCAGTTCCCAGATTCTACCTAAGATCTCAGTCAATCTCGTTGCTAGTACTGGACCACCATCCTTAAAAATCTCAGGGGTAAACCTGTCAGGGCCTGCGGCTCTCATTGTAAGTGCCAGTTATTGTCATAATTGTCAGGTTTATGAGGGAGTTTTAGTCACATTTGAAAATATTTAACACTTACAATTTTATGCTGAGAAATACCAGGGAAACCAACCACAGTACTGATTATGATGTCCTAGAGGATAGGATACTTACTCAACGTACTTCATTATGAGTAGCTAGTGATTCAGATTTTCATTACAAAAGTGAAATCCTACTGATAAAAATAAGGATTCAATGCACGTAACATTTTTTTAATCCAATTCGAATATTATGTCCGCGATTGGTACATTTTTTGTTTAGTGAATACTCAAGGTGACGTTGAATCAGCTATTGACTACCTTTTGGAGAATTCAAATGATTCGGATACTCAACGAGGCAATAATCAGGTCGATCACGCCATGTCTGTTATGTCTCCCAGCAGGTTCGCAGTTGCTGCCCCACAGTTCCTACCAAACTCTAGTTTACGTCAATTAAGCCTTACTGAACGTCGTGAGGCTCTTTTAAACCATGCGCGTCAGCTCTATCGTTCTCGTCAACAAAAATCCGCTTAATTCATGGCGTAAGATCCCGTCGTTTAACAGTCCTTTTAAAGTTAATGAACTGTGATTCTTTCCATATATCTCTGACCGCCAACTACTTTCTCGTAAACTTAAATGTTAATGAGTTAAAGCCATATCTGATAAATCCTGATTACTTTAACTCTCAGTTTATTAGTTTTTCATCATTGTATAATAATAGCAAGATATCTTTCGATTTTATATGGTTTTACATTACTTGACTTTGTGGTGATCTGTATAATTTTAAAAATTCCCATATTGTGATTTAGAACAATATATATAAACGAGCAATATTGTTTTCAATTAGTTCCTCATAAGGCTTTACCCCAATATACCGTAATGTTCATATGCATATACGGAATTATTAAACCAATCAAGGCAGTTTATGAGTCAATGATAACAGTGTAATGGATTACGTAAATAAACATAATAAGTAAAGAGTACAAATTGATAGTGTGATGACAGGTGTACTAGTTGTGATAAGAATAACAAACGCTCGAATCCATGTTTCATAATGGGAAATAGGACAATGGCTTGAAAAAATATAGATGCTGAAATAACATTCACGTAATGAGAAGTGTTCAGGTAATTGAACAATGAAGTGTGTATTTGGAAAAAAGGGTTGGAGGAGGTGAAGGAAAATAAACGAGTATAGGAGATAATAAATAAATCTTATTAAGGCTTATTTGGTCAAGGAAGAGATAAATATGTTACAAATTCCTTATGAATACTAAGACTTGGATTGTTAGCTTGAATTCTCATAGCTTCTGCTATGTGTAAGAGACAAGATCAAACCACATAAGGAAGACTAGTAGGAATACGATAAATAACTTGAAATGGCCTATTTCTATTTATTAAATGACTGCTATCGATGAAGTATAGTAGAACAGAGTTGTGTACAATAAGCAATCTCATAGTTTTTATGAATTTATTCTGTTGTTATCACTGACTCAAACTGCCTTGATTGGCTTAGTAATTTCATATATGCATACGAAAATTACTGTATATTGGGGTAAAGCCTTATGAGGATCTAACTGAAAACAACGTTGTTCGCTTATATATGTTGGTCTATATAACCGTTTTGTTATCAGTGTAGCTAATACCAATCAAAAGAGTATTATCAATTATTTCCTAAGCCTGGTGATTGTTGCTAACCGACAACTTAATCTTTAACTTAGTAGTTAGTATGCCCGAGCAGTTACTGCTAGAAATATTTCTTAGTCGCGTGATGATTTAAGGATGTCAAAAATGAAAATGGCCTCCGTTTTATTTGAGACCATGGAATTTCAGGAAAATTGTTGGGAATTTCGTCCTTAATCACCTATACCAAACAACGTAACTGATAAAAATATCGAACAGATAGTCCGAAAATTGAGTAGAAAAATCAAGCATATCAATACTAGTATTTTAGTAAAACTACACCAGACACACCTTAGGTAAAAGTTGCGAGAACAAGTTCCAAACTCACCGCCATACCAAGTTATTATGTCACTCGGCTATACTAGTAATATCTAGTTAGGACTGTTATATGCTATTGGGCATTTCAAAGACGGAAGTGATACCTAGCCTGATTATTCCCCAGCTCATGTATTAGATATATATCTCGTTAGCCGACTTAAGCTATTTCAGCTCGAGGTGCAGCTTTAGGTTCTTGAAAGTTTTGTGATGGCGGATGAACGGTAAACGAAAAAGTTTACTGAACATATTGGTGTTGTAGTGAAGTGATAATCCCTCACTCGAACAATCATGTGTCAGAATGACTGATCCGTGAAATTAGTTTCATAGTTAAAAACACTTGTATGCACAACCGTTAACCAGAAGTAAACATTGTACCGAACCAACCAGCCCAAACACGGTTTCATTCCTCACGATCACGTTAGTATTAAGATTGCAATCTATTCTAACTCATTTGGATAATCTCATTCTTTAAAAAATGAGTTAAATGGAAGTGGCATAAGTGTGGAGAATCCGAATATAATTCACAGTGCTCGTGAATTAAGACTATATCGAGGCAATACGCGCAATATTCACATATGCTAATAAGAGACTGACCAGTCGCAGTCTTAAACATCAATGGGAAGATTCAAACAAACAATACTAAGTGAATTTAAACTTCACCCTATTGCACAAGCAAGTGGCTATCAGGACTCAGTAGCTGAGTGAATAACGCGATGGCGTTTGAAGCGAAAGGTACTGGGTTCGAGTCCCAGAGTGGACATCAATTTTGAGATGCAGGTACATCCAGCTGACGAGTCCCAAATAGGACGAAACGCACAGTACACTGCTAGCCACTATCCATCTTTGCTTACAATCCGAATATCCGTTTACTTTTTATTCGCGAATATTTATCACAGGATAACTATGATTTAGTAGTGTTATATCCCCTCGCTTACTCTTTATTCTCTAAAATATATCTGATTGTTAGTTGTACGTGCATTAGTAGTTATCAGGACCCATGTAAACCTGGAGCTCTACGGGAAGCGTGTAGATATTGTAGCATATTTGAATCATCGCAGTTTCCACGACAAAATACATGGAAGTTGAATGCCTGAAATGTAAGAGCACCGTGTCTGGCACTTGAAAAAAGACTTATCTTGTTCAAGCGAATTTATATCAACCTGGGGGCGATATGCCTACGTGCGCGAGAGGGACTGTATATTGCACGGCAGTTTTGCCTGTGGAACATGTTTTATGAAGGTCAGTTACATGTTTAAATTGGTAACGTTCGGCTACAGATATCTACGAAGAGTCGGTCGCATGTAGTAGAATGTTGGAGTCAAGCTCAATGTACTGAGTAAAATTAGCGAATCGGTTGAGGCTTTATACCAGTTGGAACACCTTACTACTGGCTACTTTAATATCTTTCGTTTGATGTGGAGTGATAAATTCTTTTCTTGTCTTCCTGTTTGATTGGTTCTTTTTGGGATAGAAAATTTCGATGTTTAGTTCATTACTACGACGAGTACTGTCATTATCTTGATGTATTCGTGTGCTAGAGAAGAATATGGCCAAATGACTCGTCGCATGTATGGACTAGATCTTACGTTAATGGTGATACTTGGTCATAATGATTAAATTTGTGGGACTAATGGATGACAGGTAAATTTATTTCATGCCACCTAATATATATAGAAATTATCAACAACACCTGTAGAATTCTATTTTAAAGTCATATACAAACAAATCCCGTCTTTAACTTGTATTTCAAATGGCTAAATTCAACCAACCTTTCGGGAAGTTCAAACTCAGAACTCTGTTTAGTTATAACATTATCTGATTGTAGGCGATATTATTTTTGAAAATATGCTAGTTGGGCTGATTTTTGTGCTATCACACGAGAATTAATAATCGAAAACTTGAAGGGAACTAATCCTTGCTTCTATATCTCATTTAGTGACTATGTAAATCTAAGCAATGATCCCAGGCCGTCGTCATATTTCAGAAATAACCAAACATGATTTCATAGATTGCCATATTAAAAATAGTAGTGTACATAAAGTAGGTCCTAGACAATATGTCATTCATAACTTAAGTCATAAGGAATGGCACACTTCATAAATTAATATTATTTACAAGTACATAAAGCAAAGGTGTTCAAATATACTACGAAGTCAATCAACAGATTCATCATTTCTCCATGATTCCTCAACAATGGCTCGGACTTGTGTTTCATACTGGCGTTTGTCTTCTTCAAATAATTCTGCTGCTGTCGTATTTGCAGGAGAGTTGGGGTTCGGGTCACCCAAAAGTGACTGTAATGATGTTAAGATTGCTCCAATATTATATGATGGAGACCACATGTTTTGCAATATATCCAAACATATACTGCCATCACTATAAACATTAGGATGGAACATTTTGGAAACGAATCGCACAATCGGTGGGACGTTAGGATAGTTCTCGGTGAACTCCATTGTTAGCCGAAATATACCGTCTGCGAATGCCGTACCATCCGGCCCCAGAATAATTGCATGCCACTTCATTATATTGTCATCAAGTGGAACAGCGTATACACCAGGAGGAGGGTCAAGCTGAATTTTCTTAAAATCGTTCATAAGACGGCGTCTAGCCTTTGTAGACATTTTCACTCAGGTATTAAGACTAAAGAAAGCGAGAATTTTATTTAAGAGGATTTTCCTCATTCGAACGCAACATCACTTAATGTAGTCTGAATAACCCTTTTTAATACAGAGATTCACATTCGTGACTTTGAGGAGAGCGGAAAATCGAACAAGCCATTCCCCCTAGCGAGAATTCGGTCTTAAAACACAGTGGGTTGAAATTTATTGTCAGAAACTTACGAACGACGGCATGTTTTCACTGTTGATTCATACTACTTTGAACGGAAAAGTCATATGTACTTAGTGGTATTTTTAATTACTTCTGCTACATAACGACCTTTTGGAAAACGAAGGTCAGCGTCATGATAAATCTTGTTTGACGGATACACGAACAAACTATACACCCCTGATAAGCTAATGGGAAATAGTGACAGTGATATATTGATACAGCTCACGGTAGAAATCCAGGTGTTGAAGGTTAGTGCATATGACCGAAACGAATTTTATTTAATGGTTTATATTTGTCAAGTACATGCCCATCAAGTTATAGTTGCAGCACCAAATTTGGAACTGATCATTAGTGTAGCGTGCTGTCAGACTAAAACATAAGTCAGGTGCTACGCACCATCTTACTAATGGTAGTTAAAATCTGATAGCATTGGGGCTTTACGTTTTAAAGATCATGATTAAAACCCATACTATGTGTATACCCAGCAGTGGGGTTTCCAAAAAAACAGGACTTCGGCAGTTTCCGAAGTCGATTAAGACAATAAGGCTCGGGACATATAAGTGGGTTTCGAATAAATTAAAAATAATCCAGTGATCTCTTGAGAATACAGAACACTTATGTTGTCCTACATTTTCCTACACTTAATAACTTTATAACAACCATTAGGTAGCAGATCCATATGATAAAATACATACTCACCTATTGAAATGATAGGAAGTTATCAAGGAGACTCAGGTGGTCATAGCCACACCCGGAGCCTTTGATCTAAAGGTCTGGTCCACAAGGCAGTGGAGCATCGTGAGGAGATGCATTCCTAATCGTTGGTCGCCGGCTACCATGGGACTGCATCTCCTCACGATGCTCCACTGCCTTGTGGATCAGACTTTTAGGTCAAAGGCTCCGGGTGTGGTCCCCTAAGAAAACCACTTGCTTCAGTTTGGGCACCTGAGCAGTATCACAGCCCTCACGCAAATCAAATAAGATTTGTGCGGCGCAAATATATGTGGTTCCCCTTTGTACCAATATTTATGTGTTCAAACAAACAGATAAATAACCAACATAGAGCCTGATACAAATATACCTCAGCCCATGTAGCCAGGCCAGTGCCAACAGGATTAAATGTCATTAAGCACAAAAGTGCCCCGACTGAAATAGAAGACTTGTCTACAACAACTGTTTACGGTGGCTTGGGATCGAGTTAAATCACCATATGGAGATGAAAGTCATGGAAGGTATATGATAATGATATGCTAACACCGGAACTGTTAGCGTGCTGTCCCAACGTCCTGTCCCTTGCCTTAATAATTGTAAAGTGTTTTTTCAAATCTTAACATTTAATTTGAGTTTATCCATTCATAAAAATTGTCGATACAATATTGTGTCGACACTTAAGTTAATACGAAGAGAGGCATGTACATTTGTTAAGACAAAATATACCACGATTTGAGCACTTTTAAATAAATAATTACAAGGACGTAAAGGTTTTTCAACACAAAATTGTATATAAATATATTTACCCAAACCTGCTTCAGTCTGGGCAGTATCACAGCCCTCACACAAATCGAATGAGATTTGTGAGGCGCACATATATCTGGTGCTTCTTTGTACCAATATTTATGTGTTCAAATAATAATAATAAATAATATTTACCCAAGCAATCAATAAAGGGGAAAATGTCTACGGAAATGCGCCGAAATTTCTGCTTTTTGCCTGTCCAGGGGAAATAATGTGAATTTTCCCCTTCATGTCGCTGTGTTTTAAATGTCGACTAATTGTCTACTTTTCGCCTAAATATACGCCGAATTGTCTACTTTTCGATTCTAGTCAAAACTATATGGACTCCAAGAACTTTTGATAGTTTTTGTTTACTGTGTGTTTTTTTTAACGGTCCTAAATTTACTGCTTATATTTTTAAGACAGTCTAAATCACTAGCCATGAAAAATTCATGCAAGAGACCTGGTTGCCGTTTTGCCGTTACATCTGGCATGCAATGTGACAACTGTAAAGGTTGGTTCCATGAGGCATGTACAGATCTAACAGCAGCAGCCTATAGCAGACTCAGCAAGTCTGATCGTAGGTGGGTATGTGTTACCTGCAACACTGATACGGTAGTTATGTTGGGTACTATCATTACTTTACTGACAGGTCTGAGAGATAAGTTGTCTAAGAATTCGGTAAATGATGTCATCATGACGGGTAACAAAGCTGGAACGCATAGGGCAAATAAGAAAAAGGATACTGACAGGTCAGTTATCGACAGTGCTGTTAACAGCACGAGTGATGATGTGCTGAAACTCATCACCATCTTAACATCGACTGTCATCGACTCCCTCAGTAAACTTGGGTCCCCCGGGGAACGGTCCTTGAATGAGACAGTGGTTCCTAAAAATCCTGTAGGTGGATGGACTCACGTTAACAGGAGTAATAAAGCCCAAGCGTCCCCTCCGAAACTGAACGTCCCAAGTATCGTGCGGAAATCAATTGATGCTTTGGCCGCACAGTCTACACCCAAGACTGTCCGCCCGGTCATCACTGAGCCCAGGAATCGAAAACGCGCCTCGACATCCAAACAACAAGATACCAAACCTAGACGCCCTGGGAAATCAATTGCGGTTCGTGACGACTCTGTCATAATCATGAACCTTATTGACAACCCCGACCTTCCTCTCAGTTTGCAGGACAAAAACGATAGGATGCTCTGGGGAGAATTAATCAAGAGGCTTGAACTCCCTAGAATAGAGCCTTTGACCGTCACACGGCTCACTCGGGGGAAGGACTCTAACCACCTAAACCACCCGAGGCTGCTTCGTGTTACACTTAAGAATGCCTCCGACGTAGAGGACGTCCTGCTAGCCAGTCACTTACTGAGGTCCGATGGGAACGTAAGAATACTGCCCGACATACCGTATTCTGAACGAAATCTCATCCGGAACATCCCTAAGGAATCTCGCGAGGCGTTTTTCCGTGGACGAAATATCATTGTGCAAGGTGTGCCGGAAAATATGGACCCAGCTCAAGCAAACTCTGATACTCGGGAATGGAAATTCATCAAGCATTCCTTAAAACTCAAGAACATATTGACCCAACAGGTAATGAGACTGGTCAAGAGAGACGGAGACTCTAGGCCCCGGCTGCTGAAGATAACCTTCCCCTCCTCCCACATGGCGGCTGCAACTCTGGAAGCATTTCGTGCCAATAGACGTCGGTTGCCAACTGGCATCCATATGCATCCGGATAGGCCCCACGACAGCAGGATCAAGCACAAACGAAAGCTGGAGCTGACAATTCCACTCGTGGACTGTCTTGATCATAAAAAAAACGTGTAAAGGACAGGGACTACCAACTCGGTAAACATCGTATAGGTAGGCTACCTGTCCACTCACACACGGCTCATATAGACAAACAGGAAGAGGCTCACGCGTTCCAAATTGAAAGCATAAGCTGCCTATACACGAACGCCGCGAGCTTGCCAAACAAAATGGATGAGCTACGTGAACTCAGCAACGCTAATGATGCCCATCTGATAGGAATATCCGAAACTTGGATAACGTCTCAGTTTACGGACCAAGAGTTAGCAATAACTGGGATGTCTTTATTTCGCAACGACAGAAAAACAGGAATGGGGGGTGGGGTAGCACTATACGTACGGTCATGCCTGGATGCGCACCAACTTCACAACCAAGAGTTTCACAATCTTGACGAGTCAGTATGGTGCTCAGTAAGATTATCTACCACCTCGAGGTGCCTAGTTGGGGTCGTTTACAGGAAGCCCACTGCCGACATCGAATATGACGTCTGCTGGAAGGATTAACTCGCTTTACGCGTCTCGGATTCTCTCATATCCTGATTCTAGGGGACTTCAATCTCCCTAGAATCAACTTCGTGGAACATACATACATTGGTGGTGCCAACTCTACTGAAGCTCTGTTCTTCAACCTTATCGGCGACCTGGGATTATTTGAAAACGTGAAGTCGGCAACCCGTTGGAGAAACAATCAGACGCCGTCACGCTTAGACTGGGTATTCACAAACGAAGAATTCCTAGTTGACGACCTCTCAATCCTGGCTCCCCTGGGCAAAAGTGATCACGCTGTCTTATCATTCAGCTTTGTCAGCAAGACGGAGCTACGATATCCTACTAGCAACAAGCGCTGGAACTTCAAACGGTTGAATGTGTTAGCTTTACAGGACTATCTTCAACAGGTGGATTGGGATGTTCGCCCTGAAATTGAAGTGGATGCTCATTGGGATTTTTTACTGCACACGATCTTATGTGCTACTGAGCATTCAGTTCCTAAAATGGTCCCAAAAAGCTACAAGCAACCTGCAATCATCAAGAACCGCACTCGTCGTTTGCTAAGCCGCAAAAGGCACTGTTGGGCTGAATATAAACGAACTGATAACAACGGCGCGTACAGGCAATACAAACATATAAGGAACACATGCACAAAGGCAATAAGAGAAGACAGGCTTCAGTTCCAGACCAAGCTTATCGATAGATTCGTCTCCAATCCGAAAAGCTTGTTCAGTTATGCAGCTTCTCTTCGACAAGGCAAAACTGGAGTTTCCCAACTGCTTGGTCCTAATGGCCCGACCAACAACGACAGTGATGCCGCTAACCTTTTGGCTGAATATTACTCCCGGACATTCCAGCTGACCCACATCAACCATACTGACGAAAGCTTCACCTGCACCTGTACAGGACTTTCCGAAGTGGACCTGAGTGCTGACTTGGTGCTCTGTAAACTGCAGAACCTAAAAAAAGACACTTCTCCTGGTCCGGACATGGTTCATTCCTCTGTATTGAGGGAAGCAGCTTCAATCCTGGCGACACCACTTAGCGTGATGTTTGCACACTCGCTAAGCAGAGGCAAACTACCGGAAATATGGAAGCTGGCCCACATCACACCAATTTTCAAAGGAGGTCGACGCAGTGAACCCTCAAGCTACCGACCAGTGGCCCTTCTCTCCATACCTTCAAAAATTATGGAATCCCTAGTATTCGACGGCATACTAGAACACTTATCATCCTCAAAGTTCTTCTCGCCTCAACAGCATGGTTTCAGAAAAGGTCATTCTTGTATGACCAACCTGCTGACTGCGGTGGATAGATGGACAACCATCCTTGATCGCAAGGGGAAGGTTGACGTCATTTACCTGGACTTCTCAAAAGCTTTTGATAGGGTCAACCATGAATGTCTTATCAAGAAGCTTGGACGATTGGGTATAAAACCCCCTTTAATTGACTGGATCACTTCATACCTAGAAAACCGACATTTTAAGGTCAGGGTTAACTTCACTCTCTCTCAGGCTATGGAATGTCCTAGTGGGGTCCCCCAGGGTTCAATACTAGGACCTCTTCTCTTCTTGATTTATATTAACGATCTTCCTCAACAATTTTCATCTGATTTATTGCTTTTTGCTGATGATGTGAAACTTTGGAGAGAGATACGTAATCACAATGATATACTAGTTCTGCAGGAGGATCTGACTCGACTTCAAAGTTGGGCAGACGACAACGGACTTACCTTCAACACTTCAAAGTGCAAGGTAGTCCATCTGAGACATGTTGCAGACTATAGTTATAACTTAGGTAACTCACCTCTAGAAGTTTCCCAAGTTGAAAAAGATTTAGGAGTGTTGGTACCCTACGACCTGAAATCGTATGCGAACTGTGACAAAAACGCCTCTCAAGCAAACCTTGCACTGGTAACATTAAAGCGCATTTTTGGCCAGTTTGACGGTAGAACCTTCCACATAATCTTCAACAGTTTTATTCGTCCCCACTTAGAGTACGGAAACATAGTATTTCCTCCCTCCCTCCAAAAGGATAAGGACACTCTGGAACGTATACAACGTCGAGCCACGAAATCAGTTTGGGGTCTCAAATTCAAACCTTATGAAGAGCGCCTCAAATCACTTAACCTTTACCCGTTAGAGTATAGGCGTCTTAGAAGTGATCTTCTTATGACTTATAGTATCCTTAATACTTCTGGTCATCCCCTTAAACAACTTCTTAAGCTTAGTCATAACACTAACCTGAGGTAACACCCAGAAATTGGAGACCCTACATAGCAGAACAGACTGCAGACACAACTTCTACTCCGTTAGAGTTGTCAAGTGCTGGAATTCGCTGCCGACTGAGCTAGTCCAAGCGAGCTCCCAGGAGTCCTTTAAGAGAAAACTTGACTTATTCTTAAGGACTAAGGATAACATATTATTATGATTTACCAAATTCTTTTTTTTCCCTCTATTATCGTTCATATACCTAGGTTTTTGCCTGGAGGTATTGGTGATCCACTGCTATTAGACACGGAAGCCCGTTAAGCGGAAGCTTCTTCTATTCCGTCCTCAACCATTTGAAGTGAATGTGTTCCTTCTACCTCTATATGTACATGCTATATCATTGCAGACATACGTGCTAATATTTCAAACGATGAAAGTCTAATCAAAGGGCAAATAAGCATAAAATTCACCAAAACAACCCACCGGTCAGCCTCCCATTCGCTACGGCTAAATGAAGGTCACAATATTCTAGTCCGGCGCCTATCAGTGTTTTTCAAATTGTTCTGAACGAAATAGAAGTTTCCGCTTAACGAGCTTCCGTACCTAGCAGCGGTGGACCATCAATATCTTCAGATGGGAACCTAGGTATATTCAACGATACAAAGAAAATAATTAGTAAATAATATCGTGGTATCACGCTAGGCCATAATCAAATGGTTGAGGACGGAATGGAAGAAGTTTACGCTTACGGTCATCCACTAGGCTTTTCAACACGTTTATTAGTGTAGTGGTAAACCCATCCCCTTTTATCTGAAGGCACTCGATCACGCATCCGCACCGAGTGGGTACGTCGTACTACGCATCTCTTACAACTTTTAGCATGCGTAGACCAAATGATCCTTGATATATCAATGGATTTCCAAGTATAACTTCAAACTCCTTCATTTCTGTCTTCTGATTCGACTGAGTTGGTATTCTTCAATTATGGAGGTGTTACATGTAATGGCGTTTTCAAACTCCAGATGCTTATTACATCTTTAGTAATGAGCTCAGTCTTCAGTAATACTGATAGTAGGTTGATGAACCTGTGTTAATCCTGACAGATTTCCTTCCAGTGAAGGTCCAGCTTCTTCTTGAAAATGTTCACTGATGGTGCTGATACCACTTGTTCTGGTAAAGCGTTCCAGTCATTGACCACTCGATGAGAAAAACGAGACCTCACCTTTATTTTATTAGATCGCGGTTTCAGAACCTTCTTGCTATGACCTCGGAGATTATTAGTGCTGGAGGGAGCAAAAAGATAAGACATTTTAACACCCAGATCATAATTAAAGACACGAAATGCCAGTATAAGGTCACCTCGTGTCCTACGATTAGATAAGGGGAAAGGGTTAAGACGTTTTAAACGCTCGTCCTAAGGGAGTTTAGAAAGACCCTTTACTAATTTTGTCCCTACACGCTGGACACGCTCAAGCGATTTAGTATCCTTTATCAGACAAGGGCTAGCTGCTTGGATACAGTATTCTAAGTGTGGCCTTACATAGGTGGGATATGAAATTGGAAACATATCCTCGTCGAAGCATTTAAATGCTCTGCGAAGCGACCATAGCGCACGATAGCCTTTGGAAGCAACCGCATTGCAGTGCTTAGTAGTTTTCATGTCGTGACTTATAGTTACTTCTAAGTCTTTGTGCTCTTGAACGCGTGGCAGAGATGTACCATTAATGGTATAGTGGTAACTAATATCGTGCCCGATGTGCATGGACACGCTCTTCCTGGAATTAACTTCCAGGCTCCAATCATGAGCCCACCTAACTAATTCGTCTAAATCTGCTTGCAGATAACAACGATCAGTCTCATTTCTTATTGTTCTCCAAATTTTGACATCATCCGCAAACAATAACGTCGACGACTTAAGTAATAAAGGTAGTTCATTAATATACAGAAGGAAAAGTAAAGGGCCCAAGATGGTGCCTTGGGGTACACCACTTTTGACCGGTTTCCATTCGGATAGCGTTCCATTGACCCTTACTCTCTGTCTGCGGTCACATAAGAAGCTTCCTATCCATTCCTGTATAGCACCTGTTATTCCAAAGCTCGAGAGCTTTTGCATAAGACCTAAGTATGAAACCTTATCAAACGCTTTGCTAAAATCTATGAATATCACGTTGACGGACAGGCCGTTGTCTAGGGCAGCTGTTCAATCCTCTCTCACAATGAGTAATTTAGTCAAGCATGAATGCTTGTTATGAAACCCATGTTGCTCGGTAGTTAACAGATTGTACGAATCTATGTGACTCAGTAGCTTAGCTCGAATTAATTTTTCAAGTAACTTAACTACTATACTGGTCAGGTTAACAGGCCGGTAGTTAGATACGATTCGTCTCTGACCATCCTTAAATATAGGACTAACTATGGCGTCTTTCCAGTCTCTAGGTAGTTGAGCCTAAGAAAGGGACATGTTGAAGAGCATCGTGAGCGGTCTTGAGATAATATCCGCTAGCGATGACAGCAAACGTGGGTGTAACCCATCGGGGCCCGGTATCTTACAAGGTTTTAGGTTAGTTATCAAAGGAAGAACAATATCCTCTGTCACGTGCAAAGGTCCTATGGCTG